GGGGGGTAGTACATAATTCACCATGTGATGCTGTGTTGGAACAGACTACATTGTATATAGTTACAGTATAAAATAAACATTATTCCAAACTTTTGACTCTGGACTTTGTTTTGTTGAATATTGAGGTAGATTTATTTTTGTTCTGTTGACCATAGATCTATGTCATTGTGATGTTCTCACTCTCCTGTGTTTGTGAATGTGAAATATAATTGTGACATTCTCACCGTCTTTTGTATGTTGTAATATAAGTTGTGATGTTTTCGTGGGTGGTTGGCGGGTGCTCTGGTGTGGTTTGCTTCTTCTTTCCTTCAAACATTTGTCGTCCCCCTTATCTCCCCTTCTTCTTTTTCATGTTTGTTACTCTCTTGTAACACCTCTAGTCTTCTGGCGCTCATATGACCTTATGCAGTTGCGAGCACCGTAAAACCTTTACTAAAACTAACTGTGATGTTTTCACCGTCCTGTGTACGTGAATGTGATTGTGGTGTTCTCAGTGGGATGTTGGCAGGTGCTCTGCTGTGGTTTGCTCCTTCTTTCCTATAAAAAATCTATCATCTTTATCTCTCCTCCTTTTTTGTGTTTGTTACTCTCTTGTGACACATCTAATCTTCGGCACTTATATGACCTTCTTGTGTTGCAAGTGCCGTAAAACACTTACAGTGGAAACCATATATAACGGGCCCGGTAATAACAGGGATTTCTTCAATGCTTGTTTTTTGCTACTCTTTGTCTCCATTAAAAGTTATCGGCTATAACAGGGCGTCATCAGAACCCAATAGGGTATAGCAGGGACAAAGGTTCGTTAACAATGTGTAAAAAGTAAGAGAGAGAGGGGGACTCAGAGTAATACAATGACGGAGCAAGCCACGCCACTGCAAGCACATGCAGCGGGTGAAGGGAGAGAGGGCTGCGGTTTGCTGCAGACTTCGATCTTACCCAAGGCCTAGCTACATGCATGCGTAAAAAACCCTGTTCATGAGTACTTGTGGCAAGGGAAACTACCCATGAATAAATGCAGCTAGATTAGTTCACAAATGCTTACTACCCTTGCATTTCTGATTTAACTGGACTTTTTCTCTGGTCCCACCATCCCTGTTATATCAGGTTTCCGCTGTACTAAAACTAAAGATGTCCTCACCGTCCTGTGTACGTGAATCTGATTGTAAAGTTTTCACCGTCCTGTGTATGTGGTTGTGATTTGGGGGG